TTTCTAAGCTCTGAGCCTTAATACATGACTTCTGACTTTCGGTGCCTACTCCTGCACCCCTTGGCTGGGCATAGAGCTGCTGGTCTCCAACTGTGACCAGGGCACTGACCGTGACTTGGGCAAGTCACCACTAGTCCGGCTTCCAGGTCCCACCGGATAAGTGACGACTGTGCACTCTGTGCCTTTCCTTCTCCTCACCCCAGGGTGGCTGCACAGTTTGAGGAAAACAAGATGTCTGCCAACAACTTGGGCATTGTGTTTGGACCTACGCTGCTGCGGCCACCGGATGATCCTGGGGCAGCTGCCACCGGCTCTGTTACCTGCCTCCTGGACTTCGGGCACCAGGCCCAGCTTGTCGAGTTCCTCATAGTGCACTATGAGCAGATCTTTGGGATGGACGAGCTCCCCCTGGCCACTGAGCTCCCACCTCAAGACCCCAGCCCAGCCCCTGGGCCTCTCACAACCAGCCCCCAGCCAGCACCCCCATACCTTGCCCCAGATCCCCTGCCCCCAACCTTACCCTCAGATTCAGACCCAGGCCCTGAGCCCCACAGTGCCCTGGAGAAGCATCCCGAGGTCATGCCCTCCGAGGTAGGAACCAGCTGGGCCCACAGACATGGGGAGGGTCCTTTCTCCATTTCTTCTTCTCATTCGCTCTTTCTCCTCCCTTCCTTTCCCTTTAAAATGTTCTCTTTCACTCTTTCCTTATGTACCCTGTGCTCATTCTAGAAGGGAAAGTGAGGAGTGGAATTGGGGAGGGGAGGGAGCGTTAATAATGGAGTGACAACAGGATACAGCCCTGCAGAGGGTGATCATTCATCCCTTCAACAGAATACTTATTTAACACCTACTATGTGCCAAGCATTGCTTTAGGCATTACATATACATCAGTGAGAATATTCAAAGACCCTATTCTCTTGGTGCCTGCATTCTCATGGGAAAGAAACCAGCAATAAACAAGAAATATGATACAGAGTTAGTTATATAGGATGTTACATGGTGACAAGTACTATAGAGGAAAGAAAGAGTAGCATAAGGTAAGGGATATCAGGGACAGGAGGTGAGAGGTGATGGACAGTTTGTAGCAGTAAGTAGGATGGTGTGGGCAGGTCTCCTGGAGAAAGTGGATTTGAACAAAGACTCGGAGGATGTGAAGGAGAAATAAGCCAGGGAAGGGCAGGGTAAGTGCGTTCCAGGCAAAGGGAATGGCCAATGCAAAGGCCCTGAGGTGGGAGCATGCCTGGTGTGTTCAAGGCACAGCTCCATGGTGTAATGAATGGAGGGAAGGCGAGGCCAAAGAGGTCACCTACTATACGTGAGCACTTTACAGGCTCCTGTCATTCTCACCACAGCCCCGAGCGGTAGATACTGTTAGTGAAAACCATTTACAGATGAGACCCCTTGGGAGGCTTCCTGGTCCCTCAGGTTCTGCTACACCTGCCACTCCGAGGCGTGCAGACCTCCTCCACTGCAGTCCCAAGGGTTGCTGGTAAGCGGTAGGACTCTGAGAGCTGGAATGACTCAAAGTGCTCAGGACGGTTCTGACTCATAGAAAGAACTCCGGCCGCTATTGGCATTCAGCACTCCGAGGCGTGCAGACCTCCTCCACTGCAGTCCCTAGGGTTGCTGGTAGGACTCAGAGCTGGAATGACTCAAAGTGCTCAGGACGGTTGACTCATAGAAAGAACTCCGGCCGCTATTGGCATTCAGCTAAAAGCAGAATAGGGAGACTATACAGCTAACCATACAGCTAACCGGGCGTGAGGTTGCAGAGAACAGAACAGGAAGGAGCGTCACCTCATCCTAGTGTGGAGATGAGTAAGTCACAGCCTGATTGGCTTCTGCTGAACCCGGGCGGCCCAGCCCTCAGAGCCCACAGTGGAGACCAGTAACATTGCTCTGCACAGCAGGACGGTTAAGGGCACCACATCTTCCCAGACACCAAAACTACACAGGAACTTGCATGTCCAGGAACAAACTCTTGGTTCTCCAAGAGTCTCAGAGAACTGGGATTTTATTGTGGGGGTCTTGGTCTTGGGTTTCTCCCTACAGATTCTAACTCCACAGAGTGACCAGAGAGAGGAAGTGGCCCAAGACACCAAAGAGGAGAGAGGGGAAGGTGAGTGTGTTGGGAGTAAACCAGGAGTTCTGGGGGTACCTGCCCAGGTAGCTCGGTGGAGAGATGACTCCCGGGAGGGATATCCAGAGGACGAGTGATGCTCAGCAGTGACCCCCCACATTCCACAGTGTCCAGCCAAGGCCCCGAGGACTCACTCCTGGGGACACAGTCCCGTGGCTACTTCAGCCGCCAGCCAGTGAAGTATCACCGGGGGGGCGTGCGGCCTGTCACCCACCAGCTGTCCAGCTTGGCCCTGGTGGCTTTCAAAATTGACGAGGAGACTCCTGTCACATCCGGGCCTCAAGGGAGCTTGCGGGGGAGGGGACCAGGCCCTGCTGCGGCCTCCCCTGAGGGCACTCCACCACGCCGCACCCCGCTGCCCAAGCACTTTGAGATCACCCAGGAGACAGCCCGGCTGCTCTCCAAGCTGCACAGAGAGGAGGTGCCCACGGCCACCTGCTGCCCGGACCCTCCGCCTGAGGATGAGGAAGTCGAGCGTCTCTGACCAGCCCAGCCCTCTGACCAAGTGGCCCAGGATTGAGGACATAGACTCACTTCTCCCCAGTTCAATGTTGGGGGATCTGGAGAGTTCCTATAAGGAGAAACTACAGGCCTGGGGGAAGACTAAAACCCTTTGGGGACAGTGTACCAGGACCCCCCCCCCCCCCCCCA